CCGAACGGCCTCCCTCCCATTCCATCCCACCATACCCCCACCTACTCCTCTTCCTCCCCCTCCTCCCCTCCCTCGGGGCTGCCCCCTGTGGGGAGGAAGGAGAGGCCCAGGTCGGGCATGGTCTCGGCTTTATTCACGCAGGGGTTCACGGACGCTGGGTCTGTGAGGGCCACCAGCCCCAAAAGGCCGAAGAAAAACCCGAAACCGCCCAGCCACCATCGAAACGCCTGGAAGGGAAGGATTGGGAGGGAGGGAGGGAGGGAGGGAGGGAGGACCGTTAAGTCTCAAGAGTGACCTGGCCCCTCTCCCTCCCTCCCCTCCGTCCCGCATGCCCATGGCAAAGACAACCGCCCCCTCTCTTTTTCCCAATCCTTACCTCCCTCGTGGGCACAAAGCTGGCGTCGAAATCAATGCACATTTCCGCAGCCACACGGTCGTCCCAAATCAATTCGTGCTCCTCGTACAGGGGCCCTTCGGGCATTGCTGTCCTTTTGAATGGCTGCATGGGGGGACCAGGGTTGTGGCCAGCCCCGCCGCCTGGCGTGCAAGAGGAAAGGACGCAAAGGTGGGAGGGAGAAGGCGATGGATTTCTGGGAGGCACTCGTCCTGAACTGGGTATCCCTCCCCCTCCCCTCCCTTATCCACGCCACTACTTCTCCCCAAATTCTCCCGTGATGCCGGTTACCCATCGATGCCAGCATAGTACACCGCGCCACGGTTTGTTCACCCTGTCATGCGTCGGGGTCACGGCCGCCGGGCGGCTCTTCCCTCTCAAACCCCTTCTCATCCTGGCATTACTGACCTGCACGAACAGCAGAGCGTGTGAACGACCTGCACCCAGACGGTACGGGCCGCCGGGCTAGAAGAATCGCCCTCTTGCCAAGGAGGGAAAGAGAGGACATGGTGTCTTCCCCTCTCTTCCTCTCCTGTGGGCAACGGAAAGGAAATGCGGAAGCTTGTGAATCACGGCGGCTTAAAAGGAGCCACGCTGAGAAGATAAGGGGGGGGGG